AACTCCAACCACCAATATTTAGAAAGGTAATACACTTATCACTTAAATATCCCGTCGGCTTTGAACTGCAATCATCCCACCGAAAGACCGGAGCCGTTCACATCGCCAGCCGCACGTCGTCGTTGTTTTGTACTAGTTGCTATCGGGATCCGCCGGGAAATGGCGTCGAGTCGAGCATGGAGGCTTCGGGAGTCGCTACTCCATCCGAAGGACGGTACGTACCTCTAAATCGCGAGCTTCCCATTGGCTAGATGCTCTCGAGTTGTTCATTGCCTGCTGGGAGCTCCAAAGAGCTCGGCATTATGAATTTCTCTCCCGGATTCGGCGAGCTATCAAATCAAACGCATCATTGTAAACTCCAACCGTCACCACAATGCGCCTCTCCGGTCTCCAGAAAGAGGTTCTAGCTCTGTACCGCAGTTGCCTGCGTGAGAGCCGCAAGAAACCCGCGGTAGGTTATCCATTTGCCATCTCCAGACATTGGACGCTGTCGCCCAAGCTTTGCTACTGACGCATGAAAGAGCACTCGGGCTCATTTTGAGCAATTCGCGAGGTAGGTGCACAGCAAAGAAGCATTGCATACATGGTTGCAAATATATTCCTAACACACTGTTCGTGATTAGGTCCGAGTTTGATCGGAATCTAAGGATAGAAAAGCGCGATTTCGCCGCCATTGAGTTTCTACTTCGCAAGGGTCGGAGGCAGCTTGACGTCTACTCCAATCCTGGCATCAAGGATGTCAGGTGAAAGCAGAACATGCAGATGCCATACACGCGGTCAAGTACACCAGCACTTGCCTGTTTCTTCCTGAAGAAAGAGCTCGCAGCTCAACCCTACTGCTCCGCCTCTCTCGCTTTTGACGTTTCCTGGCCGTCGCCATGTTTCGCGCTCCAGCATCCACCAAGGCCGCGTCGTGGACGAGGTGTTCTCATCATGCCTTAGTAGCTATCAAGCAGCACATCTCGTTCATCGCAGTACCTCATAACCATTACTTGGTCTAACTTTCTTGGATAGCCTCTGTTGGAAACGTTGCTTCCACCGTCTTGCCACCATCGTGCTCGCTGGCCGAGATGGTTCCTCTAGCATCTATCCCTGAGGCAAACAATTCATTACAAAGTACATTTGATACCCATCGCCCGCGCTCCCGTGTTGTATTCCTCTCTAGACGCCCTGGCCGGCCTCGTTGCTCTGTTCGCAAATCACCATTTACAAAGCTCTTCAACCTTGGGCCACCAAAGCATGTCGGGAAGCAAGATCATCTCCGAGACAAGGATCGACAAGGGCACAAAGACGCGTCTCCTAGCACGTTGGGTAAAATAGGAGCATCACCAACATGGATAAAGACGTCATCCGATGTAAGCCCAGACATTCGACAACAGCTACACAAGTCCGAGTCTCCATTCGACCTGAGTTCTTTTCCTGAGCCACCCTCTAGCAGCAAAGTTGTGGAATCTGGCAAACCTGATCCTCATCCTTCTACGCATCCTGTAATTCAACATGCAGCGCCAAAACCTCCATTGGAGTTGTCACAGCGCAGACTTTTAGTTCCAGCACAGCGAAGACCGGCCAACATTCGCCACAGTCTGATGGATGCTGCCACGGATTTTGTCAGCCCTTCAAAGCGCCAGTCTGTTGATTCCGCACTTGTAGCGGCAGTATCTCGGAGCATTGCTCAGCAGCTTCAGTTAGTCTCAAAATATTCGGGCAGAAACTCACCCCACAACGACAACGCATCACGCACATCCAGCCAACGCTATGCCTTGAATGGCTTCACTAGAGATCTCGAGGCTTACGCAAATCAGATATGTGCAAAGGGAAAGACTGTAAATACTACGCCTACCCCGCCGATAGACGCCGCAACGCTTCACACAGTCTCAGAACTCCTCCCGTTTCGTCCCCAGCTTCGGGCGGCAGGGCTCGCTGTAACGTCAAAAGAGCAAGCCCAAGGCGTGCCTCATTATCTGCAGCAGCTGCAGCCAGGTCTACCGCCACCTCCATTACGTCGGCAGCGTGGCCATGGTCGTCCACCTGCACAACTGGACGGATATAATGGTTCTCGTCCATCCCAAAGCACTGGTACGGAAATATCTTTTGCACAGTCACAGGATATAGATGAGTTCAGATATGCGCTTATTGACAAAGTACCGCCTCGGAAGAAGAAACATCGACTCCGGAAGAAGCGGCCAACTCGGCGCTGTCTTCCTTGCTTCCCGGTTGAGGAAGACCTGACAACGGATCCTGACTGGGCTCACTTTAGAGTTCCTTCAGCGAGACCCAAGGTACTTGAAAAGAAACCAGTCAAAGAATTGAGACAAAATCGACCCGCCAAGGTACATCCTCCTGGTTACTTGGCCCAGGAATATGTTGGTTCCGATTGTCACAGCCCTTATCAAAAATCAACTGCACAAGAGGTAGGAAGCACAGCTGTGGACGAGACAACATACCAATGGGACAGGCCAAATTTCATCACCACAGGGCGGAGACATTCCATGACTATGCCAAAGCCCAAAGCCCGTAACGAGGAATGTTATGTTGGGCATCGGCATATGCATGGAAGAGACTCGCAACATCGAGTTGGAAAGAATTCTACGGCGGTTTTGAACAATAACAACAACAACACGCTATATAGAGGAAACGGTGTCAGAAACTCACGTCAGGTTGGTCGCGTTCCAAAGATTGAGCCACAGTCAACCATGGCGGCAAAGCCCTCTCAACCCCAACACAATCAGCAAGTTGAAACACAGTTTGATGGCCAGGCAAACGGGCAGCAAAAGAGAGGCACGGATGTAGATCCACACCCGCCTCGCCAAAGACCGCCCCAGACTGGGCGCAGTAAAAAAAAGCAGCCCGTTTCCCAATATGACCCTCGTCATATTGGCATATGCTGCCCTTCAAGCCGGGGGGTCCCAGCCAAGCTAACCGCACGGCCCAACATCCCCAGAAGGTCGTCATCGATTCAAGGCAGCGCAGACTCCATCGACGTTGACTACGACGACCGAGAGATATCGGACCGCGACGTTCTTCGGGGTCTGCATGTTGCGGCTTCTGCTGCGTGTAATGAAGAGATTGATGCCTTTGTACGGAACAAAACTGGTCTTCGCATTCGTCGTTTTCTCGCTGACCTGATGGCACTGGAAACTCTTACGGCTTCTCGACCTGGGGAAGATGGTGAACAACACGCTAGACGAAGGCGAATGGAGATGAGAAAACTCAAGCAACAAGTTCGGCGATCCCGTGAGATTGTCATGGCTGGCGGGCTTATTTGAGTGTGTATTGGATTTGCAATGGTTAATGAGGTTGCTTGCCGGAGACTCTTGAAGGGGGTAATTGTGTATGATTAACACTGTTTAGTGTATGCTAGTGCAACAAGGCTAAAATACTCGTTTCAAAACAAAGCAACAGAGTATAGAGCAAGTTGCTTAATGACCGTGCTTCGCATATTTGCAGCCTCCTGTTTCTCGTCTTTCTCATTTTCAACCTTGACTGGTGGTTGGTCAAACAAATCCATGTATAAGCAAGTCTTTAGATTCGTATATTCAAGACTGGTGTTTTTTTATTTCAAATCCATGACACATGATATAATCACATGTCAACAACCGTCATTCTTTATTATTCGCACACAGCCTCCTATCTGCCAGGAGGTGCTAATACGCAGGAGATGTCGCGCCCAAGCTTCTTCTCCAAGGAATTCAGCACCAGATTCCACACATTCATGTCATACGCCTCGCCGATATGACCGACAAGATCAGTCGGGCAATAATCCTGCACGTAAATGTTATTCACGCCCGGCTCATGGACAAAGGAAGTCTCGGTGGGCGTCACCAGCTCATCAAGCTTGGACGTGATGACGGTGACGACGGTGCCTGGCTGCACAATGGGCGATCCGTCGTTGAGTCTCTGGACGGCGGCGCCACCAGTGACCAGGTCCGCGCAGGCCTTGCACCCAAAGGTCCCGAGGACGTCCTTGACGCCCCTCTCGGCGCCCAGCAGCTCGGCGAGGCTGTACAGGCCAGCGAGGGAGGTGCCGTGCGTTGGGGGGGCGATGGCGACAAGGGCGTCGACAATGTGGTTGACGCTGCCGAACTTGGTGGTGTAGAGGGCTTGGAATGCGCCCTCGGAGTGCCCGACGAGGTCGACTTTGCGAGAGCCCGTGGCCTGGTGGACGGTGCGGATGAAGGAGGCGATTTGCGGCGACGACTCGCGGATGGGCTTGAGGCCGCCGACGAGGGGGAAGCCGTCGTAGGCGCCGTAGGTGAGGGAGAAGGTGCAGAGGCCTTTTGTGCGCAGCCAGGCCTCGAGCTGGTTGAGGTCTTGGTAGGAGGTGGCGCCGAGGCCGTGCAGGAGCACGACGGGGTTGTGGCTGGATTTGCAGGAGAAGTCGTTGTGGGAGGAGGTTGAGTGTGAGGTTGGTGAGGTTGTTGGGATGGTGCCCGCTGCGACTGCCGCTGCCATGGCCAAGGCGGAGAGGGTGAAGCGCATCATGACACTGGTAGGTTGCCGGAAAATGTATACCCGGCTTCTAACTGCCGTCTAGGAAGCCAGGCAGGTCAAGTGTAATATTGTAGCGTCCTGGGAAAGAGGAAAGACGGATGAGATATATCCCCTTTCGACTCACGCGCCATTATTACATTGGACACCGCAATGCGACGAGTAACGAAATGGTCGGAGCGCCGCGGCTCGTTCATACTGAATACTGAACGATACTGCGTACGTGCCTGAAAGTTGTGTGTGGACAGGGCACTCCTTAGACGAGAAAAAGAAAAAAACATCACAGCTCGGAGATGGGAGCGTGTCAAGTGCACGCTGTAGACAGCTTCATGCGACGCAACGACGTTTGCCCGCATCCATGTAGGGGATTAAACACGCATACCGCATTTTTTGAACACGCGTCACGCGCTAGTCCTAATCAGGCTATGGAATTTCCTTACAGCCACATAAGGCTGTAAGACACCACAGCATATTACACAATGGCTGCTTTTCAATTTCATCAACACACAACGATGTCATCCCTAAGTTTACAGCCATCTTATGCGACCGCCGAAGCGGCCATCGGCGCGATCAACACCATACAAGCAAGTGAGGGATTTGTGACTGTGAAATCCGGCGGCGGTTATTCGAGACGCACGGGGCTACGAAACTTCTATTATATTCGATGCCAACACAGCGGCAGCTACAGGCCAAGTACCTCAAATTCAAACATTTACAAGACCTCGTCAAGGAAATCCCAGTGTCCGTTCAAAGCCCAAGTACGGCTAAATCCTCACGACAACACCTGGGTTCCTGTAATCAAGGATAGCCAACATAACCACGAACCGGTTCTTTCTCCCCTAGATTCAAGCATTCTACGGCTTCGAAGCCAACAAAACTACGGCCTAGAAAAGATTCAGTCAAGGGTCAAAACCCTCAGTCAGATGAAAACGTTGACCGCGAAGCAAATCGCTGCGCGAATTATGAGCGAATGCCCCAATGTCTACATTATCGACACGGAGGTGTTTTTCATGCAACGTCAATTACGCCCCTCAAATCGTAACTCGGGGACATCAGCACAAAATTCAGCGTCAAACCAGCTTCCCGCAGAATCTGCGTCGCAAGCCTCGTCGCGAGCATCAACACCAGCTTCTAGCGACACACCAGCTTCTACCGCCTCAAATCGCGGTGGCATCAGGCGGCGGGGTCGCGCCCGGCAACGACACACCATGGCCAGCCTCGTCGCGCGGGTTGCAGAGCTGGAACAGCTTGCCGGTACTGCTACGGCACGAATGGAGGCCCTCGCGAATGCCGTCATAAGCTCGCACCAAGCTGCCATTACTGCGATTCAAGCCTCACAGGCACCATGGACTAATTTGCCTTTGGCGCAGTCAAGAGAAGGAGATTTTACCGGCAGCGCACCTGTTTTTACATCAATGCCAAGTCAGGCACTCTTTGGGGACCCTGTTGGCGCGGCTGCTAGTCATGCTCAATTTGTGCAATACGAGCCGCCGGCACAGGGCCGTTGATGGCTTCAAGTAATGATAGCACACATCCTTGAGAGACGTCAAAAAACGCACTTTTGAACGTAAACCACGCACAAAGGCGGGCGCAAGGTTGTACATGGAATTGAATGGACGCAGGCCACACCAAATTTGTATAAGTGAGGCGTCCATCCGATTGGGGGCTAGTGGTATATGTGCATTCGACTTTTGTAGTATGTATGTATACATTTAGGTGCCCGTTAGGTAGCGTGAACTGGGCAGAGTACCAATATTGGGATCATCTTCGTGGAAAGGGGGACCTCGTCGAAAGCAGGTCGTGGAAATTGGTTGTGGCGTTGTTCTGACACGGCAACTGTTATACATGCTAGTACTTCAACCGCATTGGAGGATGAGGCAATCATCACTGCAGGTGACTTGTGATTTTCAGTCACAAAGGCAACGCTCTCTATACCCGTCTTCGCCAGCCGTCCAAGACAGCAAGTCGACCGGGCTGGCTGAGGTCTATCAGATGTTCGGCAAATCCAGTCACTGGCAAACAGGAAAAGGAAGACGAAAGGTCTTGTCAAAAAATGGCATAGCTTGTCAGAAAACTTTGTGAGACACGATTTCGCAGACGCCGAATAAAACGTAGTCAGGTCATGACAGTTCTAATTCTTCTACTCCATAGTCAAAGCTACAAGTGCTGCTTGAAACACTCGAGCGTCCTTGGGCCTCAAGAACGGACATTGCCCTTGTTGGCCAAAAAAAACTTATAATCTAACCGTGTACATGTAGCCGTGACGAACCTCAATGTTCGTACATCACAAATGCGGCAACAAGGGACCATAGCCGCCCTTCACCATGAGCGGCACCCTCAGGCCGACCTCGTCCCTCCCCGTGCTCAGCAATCCCTGGATCCGCGGCCACGCCTGGCGGAACTGGTCGCAGAAGAGGCCCTCGGCAATCTCGCTGCCCACCATGCACCCCAGGATGTAGCCCGTCACGAGGTTGCTCACGTACAGCAGGCCCTCCACCTGTGTCTCGTCGAGGGAGGCATACGCCGACCTGCACATGCCCTCGCACGGGGCGGCGAGATCCTGTGAGCAGTCCGCGAGCAGGCCCGCCATGTAGGATGCCATGCTGCCGTCCGGGTGGCGGAGAGCCTCGGTCGCGGCGTTTTCGTCCAGCGGCGCGTGGAAGCTGGTCATGTAGAATCTCATGAAGCACTCGAGGCTGTGCTGGACTCGGGGGGCTGCTTCATCAGCCTCTTGGGGCGCCTTGCTGCGCAGGTCATCTGCGTACAAGGGGCTTAGGGATGCGCCGCTGAAGTTGGTCATCGAGTGGAGGATGAAGCCCGTGTCTGTTCGGAGGTGTTTGATGGAGTTGTCCGGGTCGAACGACGGCGGCACCACGTTGAGGAGGCTCTCGACGAGGGCTTTGATGTCTTGACTGTTTGAGACGGTGATTTGGTGGTTGTGGGGAGAGATGTACCACGCAGCCTGGATTTCCTTCTTGGAGACCATAGTGAGGTATTGATTGGTGTTTATGTATGGGAATGCTGATTTTTGACTGTTTTTGCGGTTGAGAGGAGGAGGAGAGGATTTTGAGCACATGTGTTGCATCAGATACATGGCCATTTTATTTGACTTCGTCGTGGTATTTTTAGGAGTCGAAACCCCGTACAAAGAGGTGCTTCTCTTTGTCGATTCACGGCGCCGCTCGAGACCATGGTGATACACTCATCTTTGTTGCAACTGTCGCGGGCAGCTTGTAGCGCTTTGATGAATAGCTGTCACGGCCAGGGATGGCGAATCGTCCGTCTATTTGGGTAAAATAGCTCCAAGGCTCAGGCAGAGCTCGTCACCGTCCGCTAACACGCGATCATCGCAGGTCTCCTGTCAAAGACCTTAAGATGACAGTTATCCGCAGCCCTTATTCTCACAATTTAGTATCACTATTCCACTGGCGTACGGACGCATCTTACTAAACAACAATTGCTATGCCATCCAGCAATGTCGTCAGTCTTTGCCGCCTGATTGTCCATGATAGTTGTGGTGCATCCTGTCCATGGTTAAACCAAGTCGGTTTCACCAAGCACAAAGGCAAAATATACCCCGAATCCCACAACAAAAAAAAACAATCAACAATGCGCAGCACAGTTGCCAACTAGTGCAACCATGCAGGCGTTATTATTTGTGGAAGTGAGCAAAAAAAAAAGTCTGATGAGACTGGGACTCGAACCCAGGAGGATTGCTCCATCAGGAAACAGGGTGTTAAGGTAACCTTAACCTGACGCCATAACCAACTCGGCCATCTCACCGATTGCTTGTTGAATCACGTGCGGATTATTTTGGTATATAAACGTGGTATCCATAATTGGGTTTGTTCTCCGTGTTGTCTGTAGATGTGTCTTTGTTTTCTTGAGATATCGCTCTCTTTACTTTTCTTGGTGATATTAATAATAATAGTTTGTTAAATACATGGAGCTGTAACGGTGACAGACGTTTGCATTCAGAAGCATTGGATCGACGCTTGCGGTTGCCAGAAGTCAAGCATCAAGGCCCGCCGCCAACAAAGAGCATTTGTCGGGGTTGATGCACACGACACACCAGAGTCCCTACTCGACGAACCGCCGGAGCAAGATCAATCAACTCATCCAACGCCCGCGCGCTTCCTGAGCTAGTACAGAAATGACTCTCGCATGCCAACATGGAGCGACTCGTGGGGGAATATCGCCTCTTGCTTTAGGGGAGGCAGCTACTCTCTAGTGCCCTTTGCTCTGTAGAGCTGTCCTGAAGGGAACATTGAATGCTGTCAAGACGCTTCGCATTCAATTACATGTACTTTCAAGTTATGTCGTAGCCACCATTGACCTCAACACTGACTTTTCCGACCGAACCTTATTCACTTGGTGCTGTCAAGCATAGCTACCGGCCTCGGGCAATGTTGACCAACTGAGAGCTGACAGATATAGTTTGTGCACTTTGCCTTCCCCGCACAGCCCGAATGTGTCAGCAGCACTGCAGCAGCACTTCCGGAGCTCCCACGTTCTTCATCACTTCCGATATTAATGCCTTGCCATTAAAGCTAGACGCGAATCCTGGGGCCTGACTAAGTTACATTATTATATCACATTGGCTAAAACCTCATTTCCTCTGACCCTGACCATGACATCGCCCTTTCAATCATCCGATATCAATGCTTTCCGCAGCAATTTCACTAGCGCAGAGACTGACCGAGAGCATCTACTTCGGTGTTGGGCACACAAAACCTGTGGGGGATGTTTAGCTTCGTACCAATGCAGTTGGTGTCCATTTGTGAGTGCAGCAGTCATCTCTCCTCTGCATCATTCAGTCATAAGCTCATAAAATGTAGACATGGGCATGCATCCCAAACTCATATAGAGTCCCGCTACTGGCACCAGTGTACAATGAACGAATCTGCCCTCATCAAATAGAGCGATGGGAGGTGCGCACCCATCCATTTGGGTGCCATGTGTCGACTATAACGAGCTTGACGGCCATTTTCTCCGTTGTGTCAACTTTGATCCTCGTCATCATAGTGCTCTTCGTTATGGTTTTGATCCGGCGAGTCCGGCAATACTCCAAGCAACATCCCAACTGGCGACAGTATTGGAGGCAACCCCGGCGTATACGCGGGCAACCTGACAATTTACCACAGGAGCGGGATCCTCTGCTTTCCTGGCAAGGGGGCAGCCAGGCAGAAGGTGCCTAGGCGTCGCCTTGCAGGCATCATCAGCCCATATTCCAGAGCGAGACTCGGCTCCCGCACTACTGATTCAGGCAGTGCACGCGGGTCCAATAACACAGCACACAGATTTAATGTCTATCAACAAATCTTGATCATCAACCAGAGCTGACCGGAGGTATGATGGCAACCTCATCAGACTCTTGAATCATCCGTCCATTCGCATCGCCGGCATCGGGGACATCTACGTAGTCGAGGTTGACCGTAACCAAGCAAGAGTCCAAAATCTTTACCTGGATGCCAGGATACTTAGACTCAAGCTCGGCAAAGAGCTTGCTCAGCAGCAAGGGTGCTGGCCAAGCCTCTTCCTCTTTGCCAGTAAATGAGCTGGCACCAGCGAAATAAAGCACTCGGAAGTGACCCTGGGGAGCCTTGGGTATCGAAGTCATCGCTGCATGTAGAGTATGTGGGTTCTATATTGCAATCACGGCGTCAGTAACCAGCTCGGTCCAAAATTAGTCAATAAGGGAAGCGAAAGGTAAAGGCCTGAGTCAGAGATCTTGGTGATAAAAAGTACATCAAAGAGTATTCAGGTAATACATGCTATTAAAGCATCATTCCAGGTGCAAAAAAAAAAAAGAATAGTAGGTGCAGCGGTGACTTACCAAAATGACCACTGCATACTTTGTATTTATATACAGATGCAATGGCACTTCATCCAGCGAATTTGCATGAAGAAAAAGTCAGGTTGGTGGAGGAGAAGCTCAAAAGCAGAATTAAATGCAGCGCGAAAAGACCCGCCACGTGACTATTATTCTACTAGCAGCTAGCGGCACCGCCCGCCGAGTTAAGCGGTGGAGTCCATTGCAACGACGCGAACAAAGCAAAACTGCGACTTTTGTGTTTATTGGGTATCATAGTGCAAGATGGAGCGCAGAACACTTAGGACAGTTTAGCCATTCGTTCTTCCAGGTCATTCACCCAACCTTCCATGACTTTCACGTTACCCTTCACTGTAACATCACCGTCCGTCATGGCGTTTTCCATCTTCTCAAGACCTTCCTTCCACTGCTTCAACTCCTCCGTCATTTCAGCTTGCTGTGTTTCAATGCGCTCGAGAGTCTGACTTGCGGTTGCGGCATCAGCATGGATCGCACGAAGTGATCGCAGACGGTCTAGCAACGGAGGCAGCATAGGCGTGAGGTTCTCGATTGTGGGCAGAATCCCATACAGTGCATTGATCTTGGATTCTTGTTCCGACGCATCGGTCGATGATTGACCTTGCTTGCCGAGTTCTTCCCTTAGTGCCTTGGCCTTTTCCCGGGACTCGTTGAGCTTATCTTGCTCCGACGCCAAGGTTCGCACGCGTCGGGTAATAGCATCTAGATTCGAGGTCGATGCCTGGGCCAGAGTTGAAATTTGCTTTTCCATATTATCTAGAGTGGGCAATATAGCCCTTGGCAGTCCATTTGCACGGGCCTCAGATAGTGACGACGCGCTGATTCCAAGGGTTTTCTCCAACATGAGCAGCCGTCGGTCAAAATCGGCAGCCTTGGCAAGGGCATGGCTCTGTTCGTAAGTCGGTGCGTAGGTGACGGTATATGTAGGGCCGTCACCTGCAGGGACTTCGGGCTTGCTGGTTGACGGCGGGAAATGTGTCTTCGCCATGCCACGAGAGGTCTCGAGACCGGCAGGTTTGGCTATATCATCAAGGACTTGACTTAAAGTATCCAATCTTTCGTTGGAAAGGACCTTGCCTCCAGCTTCTGCAGTAGTTGTAGCAGTGGCGGCTTTACGCTTTGCATATTCCTCCTTCGCCTCCTCGACCTCTCTCTTTAGTCGTGCAATCCTCCTTTCCAAGCCCTCGTCATCGTCATCGTCGGACAGGTCGCCAAGTTCATATGTGCCATCTTCTAGTATGCGCTGGCGGCGACTGGACGCCTTGTATGATTTTCGTTTCCCATCGACCCGATCTGAGAAGTCTACCCCGTTCGCATCGACGTTGGCGGGCAAGAAACGTGAGCGAGCCTCATCGATGCGCAATCTGGTTCTTGAAATACCGTGGCTGTCTTCGTCTTCGTCAACATCGTAGAATTCGTCATCGGATTGTGCCCTATTCGCAGTAGTCTGCACGTAGATAAGCAGCGGAATACTACAAAGGATTAAAAGGGGGCAACATACGGGCACGGTGGAGTTATCATCAGTTAATTCGGGTGTCTCGTAAACGTCTGGAGCCGAATCCTATCATTATATGAGCATCGTCAAACATCGAGTTGCTTGTTGATTTCAATGGCGGTTTACCAGATCCGGCAGAGCCGCATATTTGCGATTGAGTGTCGCCATCGAGGTGGCTTGTCTGGGTTGGCGACTGGGAATTCGGCTGATGTGACGCGTTACAGGGCTGCCCTCCCACGGAGCGGAAAGCTTTGTTCTGTAGAGCTGAAAAAAATCCAGACGGATATCGATGGCCTAGGTACTATCTGGTGACCTGTTGTCTTCCGTCGGTATGAGCGTAGTTTGTGAGTCGTGACACAGAGGTGAGTGAGTAGTGAGTCCAGGGGCTCCACCGCCAATGACAACTGCCCATGTGCAGTTATTCAAAGTTTATCGTGCCTGCTTGCTTCTGCAGACATGGAATTACAGCACTGGAGGGGGGTCCCCACACGTGCATGCATGTGTGCACCGGACCAGACAGTTCAAACCACCTGAATGCCTAGAGGTGGCTTTGGTCGCGTCCACCGATTTCAGGCACGCGTCCACTTAGTCTGATGCCGGACCGGCGAGGCAGATGGAAAGACGTTTGGATTACTAACATCTCGACCCTTACAGAGCATGTCAGAATACTTGCAATTATCTTGTACCTTGTCCGAGCTAAACCTTCTGTTTCCAACCAACGAGATCATTTCAAATCGACGACCTGGCCCCGGTATTAGGCTGGACAGCTCGCATTCAAGTTCTCTTGCCTCAAGTCTTTGGAGCTCCCTACTATTGTGGCTGACAACCCGGCCAGCATGCTGGAGTAAGGTGCTGAACATATTTTGAAGGCACCCTGACCCTCTGCGTCAGCGACAGGCCGATTAATTCTCATTTCCCGATATCTAGCTTCTAGGCGAACACGATGCCGATTCTCAACAATCAACGCGGACGGACAATGGCTGTGAGGAGAGTTGGTCAGAGCAAGAATGATCCAGCGCCTCGTCTTCTGACTATAGTCGGGGGCTCATCAAGACAGAAGGTGGCCGAGAATGTTGACGATCCTCCGGTTTCTAGCGATGACGAGGGCGAATCCGACAATACCCTTGAAACTGACAGTCCTATGAACGCAATGAGTCAAAGAAAATCACCCCTCAAAGGCAGTCAAACCAGCAGGGCGCGAAATACGAAGAAAATTTCCTCTTTTGTTGGCAGCTCGGATAGTTGTGGGGATGGAGATGAGCGAGTAGTGCGCGCGAACATCAAAAGCACTAGCTTTGACACGCCGCAACAAACCCGAAGCAAAAGAAAGGATTCACCTATCGAACGAGCAGAGAAATCGGAAGATTTAGACAGCAAAAGACGCAAAACGGGTACTCAACGTAAAGAACCTAGGAACACGCCGCCGACCAGCTCCGGAGAACACTTGAAAAATGAACTAGGGCTTCCAAGAACCAGGAAATCCAAAGTCACATACAAGAGAAGAGAGCAGAGCTCACAGGAACAACCGGTTAGGAAAGGTTCGACAGACACCCGAGTAATTTCTCGGTCGATTCCTTCTGGTGGAATAGGGAAGAAGAAAGAGCCCGCCAAGCTACAGGTGCCCTCTTCGTTGCCCTCTTCGCCACAGAGCCCCGAAAGGCCAAAAATGGACAGACTTCGGTTGCCTTCCGGCCCTAGTTCTTCATCGCCTCCTAGCAAGCCTACACTCAAGCTGTACAACTCAATCAAATCACCACAACAGTCTACTCGTAGCAGGCGGCTGAAAAAAAAAGAGTCAGAAGCAAAAGGAAGGTCTCCATCTCCGCCTCCTGCAATTTTCAAAATGCCCGTGTCAATATCAGACCTACAGCTTCGATCGCCAAGGAAAGGCAGAATAGAAGAACCATTAACAGACGACCCTTCGGACATGGAGAACCAAGATGGCCAGGCCGAAAAATCAAGTGCGGACGATGGAATCAAAAGTGTGGAAGCAGAAACGGTGTGTCCTTGGTGCGGAGAACCCGTTGACAAGAAGTTCCTTGACGATTTTGCCAAGGGTAGACGTTTAAATGTGCGGCTACAAAGCAAATTTTGCCAGAAACATAAGAAACAAACAGCCAAGGAACTTTGGCAGCAGAAGAGCTATCCAGAAGTCGAGTGGGATGGGCTGGAAGACCGATTCGAAAAATATCATAAATTGTTGCTTGGTGTCATAAACGGAGGAGCTTCACACTTCCGTTTCATCCATGAGAAGAACATTTTATCTGGAAAAGCGAGGTCCATGAAGAAAGAAGACAACATGGTTCCAGGATACTACGGACCACGCGGGTTCAACCTGATGTGTGACTATTTGGTTAACGAATTTAGCGAGTTGCTGAGGGAGAAAGCAGTGGATGACCGGGTGATTGCTGGCCGTGGATCCGCAGCCTTCATCCAGACCGTGCTCGTGGCCGAGCTGGCAGTGCGCTTGATTATGGAAGACATGAAGGTTGCTGAGGAGGAAGCCAGGGCTATCCTGGACGAGAGCAAGACTTTGGGTGAAATGATTCATGGAGAGACATGATTTTGATATATAACCGAGTGAGAGCGACTTGTGTGCATACACTTTACGTGTAGAAATTGCATGGACGGCACATTTATTTGTACTAGCTAAATGAAACTGGCTGTCTACTTACCTAGGTCATCGTCGTTTGTAGTCATGCCCGAGCAGTGGGAAGGATCATGTCACAGCGTCTATATAAAAGAAGGGGCATTCGGTACACTCAAAGAAGTAAGGCGATGGCCTCACACGGACCCATCTGAATCTCTCCAGCACGCACGTCGCCAATCTGTTTTCCGGTTGGGCTCACTAGAACCTCGCGAGCCTCAAAACCACTCGACCACACTACTTTGTCCGTGGAGAAATTGCACACCACAAGGGCAGCGTCCCCATTGCCAGCAACCCTCTTGTACGCAAATATCTTGTCGTTTTGCTCGTCAACAAGCTCAAAGTCTCCGTAGACAAAAATATCCATGTGCTCCTTGCGCTTCTCCAGCACCCGTCGGTAAGTATGGTACACCGACCGAGGGTCCTTGACCTGAGTCGCGGCGTTGATGTCCTTGTAATTATCATTTACACGCATCCACGGAGATGACGCGGTCGTGAAACCGGCCTGCGCAGAGTCGTCCCACTGCATTGGCGTGCGGGCATTGTCCCTCGACTTCTTTTGATATTCCCCCCTGAGAAGCGTTTTGGTGCTGTCGTCCACCGTGTCCTTGAATAACCTGTACACTGTTAGCAACTCCCTTCTCCTATCTCCTTCTCTCTCACCCCCCCTTTTTTGTCGTGGTGGGGAAAGGGCTTCAAAGAATAACCTACTTCCAGTGATTCAAGCAATCTATATCCTTGTACTCATCCATCCCCCACTCCTTGGGGACGTTCGTCATGCCAATCTCCTGCCCCTGATAGATGAATGGCGTGCCAGCCTGAAACGCCAAAAATATAGCAATCAGCTTGGCACTGGCTACTCTATGTTCTGGCGTGTCGTGGACGAAGCGGCTCACGGCGCGGGGTTGGTCGTGGTTCTCGAGGTAGAGGGCGTTCCAACCGTTGTTGTCGTACATGAAGCGCTGCCATTTGTTGACTTTGGACTTGAGTGTTGAGAGGGTCCATGTTGCCGGGGAGAACTTGCCGTTTACACCGTGGTCAATGTCCATCCTGTGCTTGTTGGTCAATATGGTTTCGCGGTAGGCATATATAGCTGATGCATGATTTGGGGGCGAGGGGGGGAATTGGCTCCGCATAGACGTACAGTTCAAAGTGGAAAATCATGCTCAGTTCCCCTCGATCAGCAGCCACGGCTCTAACCAGCTCCTTCTCGTCGTGCACACATGGCATTTCACCGACACTGAAGGCGTCGTATTCTTTCAGAATGGCACCCAGTTCCATTAGGTACTCGTGGAGCCGTGGCCCGCAGGCATAGTGCTCCGTCCCGCCGAGGACGGTTTTATTCGAATCAGGGAACGACTGGTCTTTGCTGATGAAGTTGATGACGTCGATACGGAAGCCATCTGCGCCGCGGTCGAGCCAGAAGCGCATCACGTCGTGGGCGGCTCGGCGGACGGCTGGGTTTTCCCAGTTGAGATCTGGCTGTTGTTTGCAGAAGAGGCGGAGGTAGTACTCGTCTGTTGTTTCGTCGTATTCCCAGGCGCTACCTATTGTTTTGATGACGAGGACATTTAATTTCTTTCTTTCTTTCTTTTTTCTGCCCGGGCGGGATTTGAAGAGGGAGAGCAAGTACCTTGGAAGTGACTCTGCCAGTTATTAGGAGGGCATCGATTGCCCTGCTCATCGTACCTGGGTGGCTTCCAGATGTACCAATCTCTGTATGGGTTATCCTTGGACTTTCTCGACTCCTTGAACCACTCGTGTTCGTCGCTGGTGTGGTTCATGACGAGATCGAGGACGAGCTTCATGCTTCGCTCGTGGAGGGCGTCGCGGAGGACATCTACGTCGGTGATGTCGCCATAGGGAGGGTCGATTACTTTATAGTCGCTGATATCATAGCCCTTTTATTTTTGTAATGGATTGTCAGTTGAATTGCACTTTTGCTTTCCTCATCCTGCGTAGGCGGAGTCGCAGTGTCGATGGCAGGTCGAACCATGTCATGTTGAGGACTCTTGAAAATCGGCGACAGCCAAACAATGTCCACGCCCAGTTCCTTCAAATAATCAATCCGTGATATGATCCCCTTCAGGTCACCGACTCCCGAGCCGGTGGAATCTTGGAACGACGCTGGGTAGACTTGGTATACGGAGCCCTCTTTCCACCACGCCCTCTGCGGTTCGGATATACTGCCCATTTTTCTTTTCGATTGTTTCCCCAAGAAAAAAAGAGACTCAGGATAGCCGTTCAAGTGCAGACGGCGTTGTCGTTATTTTCCAGCTGATATGGGGACCATGAATTGGAGAGATGCATACTAGTACTAGTATTTCGTCCACGAATGCCGGTCCGAGATGCGGGGCACTTCATGGCGAGGGAAGGTCGTGTTTGAGGATTGTTTGGCTTTGTGGAGGCACTATGTCATTAAATCGGGTTTTGGATGGATTGTGTGTACATAACCTGGACCTGGTACTATCATCCTTCATTGGATAGTTCCGAGGATCTGGGAACGGTGAGGTGCAGAAGTGTACAGTGAGAGGTTGCAACACGATGTGGTGTGGAGACGCAGCTGAGAGAAGATACTACGCGGGGTTCTCATCACCTTGATGTTTTACGGGACGGGAGAGTAAGTACTCCGTATTGGAGAAAAACTGGCTTGACAAAGACCTACGTAGGTATCTACCAGTCTCTGGATACTTGTTTCGCTTTCATGTCAATTTTTCAACTCGACCAGATCAACCAAGCAAAAGTCCCATTTGTGGATCGAGGCGGAAGATATGGGGGTACATGACAACATGCAACGCAACTATTTCTAGCTTCACGACCCTGCATAGCACATGGTGCAATCGCTCATACATCTGAAACATATATATATATATATGCTACAACCTAGCCTAGGTAGGTAGGTAGTAATATCAACAAGAACAGTCGTACTCCGTATCTCTTGAGCTGGGGATGGCTTGCGGAGACTTTAAGAAAATTGTTAGGCAGAGGGACCTGCGCAAGCCATCCCGCGGCTCAAGAGATCATCACCTTGAAAAAGAAAGCATCCGACGCCGGCATATGTCCCCAAGCCTCTCGGCCAACCCTCACAAAAAGCAACCAACGTCCTCCCTCTTAAACCTTTAAGTATTTGAAATACCATTAGCAACCGCACGCACGACCCCCAGACATGAAATGTCTCAAGCAAGAATAATCAGCGTCGGTGTCCAAAGTCCGCGACGCTTCGGGCAACTTAATGTAGCTACGAGCTGGCATTAGTGAATGAAGGAAGCTCAAGTCTCTTGGCGGCGCCTGTTGTGTCACGGCTTCGTGGAGAGATGTGATGGATAAGAATGCCCACAAACCGCCGCAAAATTATATTTGCCAACAGTCAAGTATACACTGCGATGCTGCAGTATGCACGATGGCATAGGGCCGAGTGTCGTGTGGATATTTACTAAAGTATGCTTGCAGGTTCGGCGTGGGGTGCCTTGTGTTGTGGTACTTCGTACTCCGTACTTAAGTAAGTAGTCGAAGATTCCGTACGGAGTACTCACGGCATTTATTACGGGGAGTTACGACAAAACGCCGTAGGCACGGAGTACTAGTAGTACTAGTAATAAGCTTTGCACCAAAAAGATGAGACAAGGCAGAAAGCATCGACTGGCTATGGTAGTCACTGGCGAGATTGGCGACATGCATTATGGATGATGTGTCGGCCAGCTTGAGAGACATGTTTATTATTTTTGCCCCAGTTCGGCAGCCGGCTCATACAGGGCTCAGAGTTCGGACGAGACAAAGCAGAGACGGTCAATGCCAAGAATAGCTGCCGTGGATCTCGAGTGTGGTTGTGTGCAGGTATGCGAGCTGGTGTTTGCGAGCGATGAAAAAAAAGGAACGGCAGAGATTTGGAATAATGCGACTTGATGTTGTATCAACTCGGCTGTGCCTGGATTGACGGCAACTTCCGCGCAAGTCTTGACGAAATATTTGCAGCTTTGTGGCACCGCCCGAGGGCACAAGGCACACACGCACCTGGGCCATGGAGAGCAATAATACGCCGCGATATTGTTATTATATTGGCACCCATTTGGCTACGTATAAGCAGAAAGCCAATTTAATTGTGCACAAACTGCTGCTGCTAGTGTCAATGTGCAACGGTACGCGGTACACTGTGGGGGCAATTGTTTGCGGTCCGAGAAGCGGACCCAGGCCAGCGGCTGCGGGAGAGACAAATGCACAGATCACCTCGCGGCCACGGCACAACGTGACCCATGCCCCGTGGACCCACAGGCCCCCTCCCATGGGTCCAGTTGACCCATTGACCCGTTGACGTGTGGTCAATGGTCCAACCATCTTGCCATCCGAGCCGACTAGTTCCTGCCCCCCATGTCGCTCACGCTAGCATTTGAACTGCCTTTTTGATGTCCCAGTCGTTGCAACTACGGCAAATCTTCACGGCCTGCGCACGACCGATGGAGATCCATGATAATAATACAGAAGAAGAAAAAGATATACACGTTGAATATTACCGGGAGTCGCGGCGTGCCATGAATAAAATCTGTGGATAATATAGCGAAACATGCCGCGGTTGAGCGACTGCCGATTAGCCCATCCAGGCCTGGCCGAGACGTGGCTCGTCGGAAGACACACCCCGTGCCATTTGGTTCAACTGATGCTCGTAATGGCGGTACTGGCAAGACAAGACGCTTCAGCACAATCTTGTCTGGGCTCCGTGTCTATTCAGTTGTTTCACAGCGGACTGGGACATGAATGGTATCATTGCTTGCCATGGAGACTTGCCATGGAGTTATGGAAGTAGACTCGGATAAGAAACACAATGCTTTGTGCTTTGTTCAAAAAAACCTTAATAATGGCGGGAAAGAATACATGTGTGGTAGGCGGGTTGTCGCGCCATCCTATTAGCCAGTAGTGTGTATTCGCGATGGGTTCGGCTTAAAGCTGGTGCTCGGCAATTTGTGATTTTTAGCGCCTTGTCAAAGTTCAAAGCCCAAGGCTTATTTTGAAACATGGTGTCTCAACATCGGTTTTGATGGAAGATGCGACACCTCGGCCAGGGACGTTTGGATGGTTGGATATGAGATGGCCAGACGAGACCATCCGGAGCCTTCCACAGGAGGCTAAATTGCAGCAAGTCGATAGTACATGCGGCATCAGGCATTCGGCTTCCGACGTACGCGGCCGACATCCAATGATACAACCAGGGCGCCCAACAAGGCGCAAGTCTAGTTGGCGGTACTCCGTCCTGGGCATTCGGTGTACGATTTGGTCCAAGTGATGGGTGGTGCATTGGCCCATCTGCTGGCGTGTCGATGGTCCATTTCGATGCTGGCAGCCCGAGGAGCCACAGCCCCTGCGGCGAGATGCTTGCCAGGCTGGAGACAAGGGACTACTAGTAATATTGCAAAGTCGCCATTAGAGCAAAAAATAAAATAAAAAAGACGCCGAGGAAATTAGGCGGCCCCCAAGTACGGAGAACGGACTCGATGCCATGGCACTTGCTCCAGGGAGCACCTGGCACAACCTGGCAGCCTGCTCAGTGGGCTTCATCAAGTTCGAAGTCTGGTCCCTTGGACTGTGTACATGCACCGTACCTCGGTACTCCAGTACTTGGCATGCTCAAGGTGACTACTGCGGTATGTACCTACAAGTACCCAGGTATCCGAGTGCTTAGTGCCAAAAGGCTCCATCGCGCCAGGCGCCACCAGCTCCATGCTCCATGATTCCATGCCTCCATGTCGATGGCTCTATGGCTCCATAGCGCCATGTCAACTGTCTGGTGGTTAACTGAGTCTCCCGTCGGGTCGCAGTTAGTGCCGCGCCCGCAGCCCTCTGATGCGTGGGCCTTCGCCTCCAGCCCACTCAAGCGTCAACTGGTTGTCTTCATCCAGCTCCGCTCCATTTGATCAAATCGTCTCTGCTCTCGGCCTACTCCGTACTTGACGGGCACTTCGCCAAACCTCAGTCTGCGCATCACAGCCTTTTTTTTTCCGCGTCACATCATTCCGCACCCCCTCTGCTGGAGCTACCGTAACTCGCTTGGCGTTGTGTTCGACAATCGAGCGCTGAACCGTCGAATCCGACCCATCCACGAGACCTTTGCCCATCTTTCCCGCTGCGTGTGCGAGCTCACCACCACGAAACCAACAAGCCCGATACCCTTGACAAACCGCCGACCGCAGTTCGTGCCCCCCGAATGTCGCCCAGGACATGAATGCGCCCAGATCCGAATACACCTTGCTAAGGACATGGCCGACGCTTGCGCAAGCACGGCCTGCCGACAATGACGGACAATGAGGCCGTCTCCCGCATCAGCTCGTATACGAGCGCGAGCGCGAGCACCGATAGCACTCGATCTTCCATGACGGCAATGCCCCCGACGCCGCCCCTGGCGTCCATGAGCGCGCGGCGAGGATCCAGCATGCGCATTGCCACAGACGGTGGCTATCGCCGGAGGTTAGTCATCTTGAACTCCCTTGGCCACGCTTTGGTTTGGAACGGCATGTGTGTCTGCGGTATGGTGCCTGGCCTCGGAAGAGGAGAGCATCGTTCTTTTGAACATTGCCATCATTTCTACGCCTGGGGCACCCCCATTCTGTCGACCTGACGGTTACCCTCAATTGCCGTGTCAATGCTACATCAAAAGGCTCGGTTGTGGCCCGGCTAACAAACCCCGGCAATAGAACCTCCAAGGACGATGCCCAAGTCTCTCCCACATCTACTACCGCTACTCGAGGCACTCTGTCGCCGCCGTCGTCAAACTCCGCCCCCAGTATCCCACCCAAAGATCGTCGATTGAGCGACCTCACAAACTACCGCCGTGATCTTGCCGTTCTCGAGCCCACCCGTTCCCATCCGCCATCCTCATCATCGCCATCATCTTCGCAAGTGCCGCCGCCGCAACACAGCCATTCAGTAGGCAGCCTGGCGGCAAGCACCCAGATCGCGCCGTGGATGTCGTCAGCTTTGCCTGCCAGCTCATCTCCCAAGGGACTCACCACAAGCTTCTATAATGATTCCAGCGACAGTCTGTCCCTTGCGTCGCAGTTGTCCCCCGGCCTGCCGTCAGCAACAGGTCGTCCGGGAACTGGCTCCGGTTCCATCAGCCAGGACTATGCCGATGTACTGTATGAGAACGTGGACGGCAGGCGACCTTCAGCTGCTAGTATTGTGACGACCGCCAGTAGTCAGGGCTCGAAAGCCAGCGTTAATCGCGGTGGATTCCGCAAGCTTCAGGGGTTTTTCGGCGAGGAGTTTCCTGGTCATGATAGTTCCGAGAGTAGCCTCCCCATTTCAGTCCCCGGCAAGGATCAACGTTCACGATCTTATAGCCATGGCCGCCCAACCCAACGCGATCGCAACTACTCCAACGCCACAGACCGTGAACCCTCGCCTTCCTCATCAAGGCCAAGAACCCCTGTGCCAAATCCAGAAGTCGTTCCTTTCCTCTACCAGGATAATTCGGTGAGCCATCCTTTTTTGTCTCGTTTTGGTCTGTTGTGTCTCTAGTTCTTCAGCCCCCGGTGACCGATCTTCATCTCCCAAAAAAAGGTCCCCGCCACTAAACCACTCATTCCGCTCCTACCCCCATCCACGCCGGTTCATTATCAATCCATTCATTTTACTGTATTTCGGCGCCATCTAGGTATTTGTTAGTGAACTTTTACCTGGCTAGTTCTCACCTCCTTTGTGTTGGGAACCTAAATGTCTAAGTTTTGTTCTGCCGGCGTTCGTTGTGTATATTACACCTGCTCGAGCTGCCGTGGCTGGTGGCTAATATTTTGAACTTTCTATTAGGACATTGCGCGTTACGGAGAAGCGCCTGTTCGTGATATCCTGACTGGACCTGATCGGGAGCGTTACGAAAGCTCTGCCGGTCAGAATCCGCCCAAATCTTCGTCTTCCGCCCGATCCGGACCCGTCCATCATCTGCATGGCCACCACCACCGACATAACAAGAGTAATGATGACCCTAGGACCTTGAGACCGATTGCTAGTAGAGAGGACTCACTTGGCTCTGCACAACACGGAAGAGACCGAGGTCCGTCCGTCGGTATGCTCAATCAACGATCGAGAGCACACAGTCCAACCCCTAGCGCCAACAGCGGACCACCAGGTTCAAGATCTGGGTTTCATGCGGACGGCTCAACCTCTCCGGGTCATCACGGAAAGCGCGGTATTTTGGGGCGCCTGCGACGCCACAAGGATAAAGACGATGGTACATCCAGACTACGAGATTTGCCCCCATCAACTAGGTCGTTGCAGGTTAAACCTTCCAAGGCAGACATGCAGCGACCTGATATCTTCCCTGGATACTACCCAGGCACTCCCGAACCGGGCGAAACTCTGGATCCCAGGACTGGGGCTCACCGTGCGGCAACTTTCAACAACAAATTCCCGTTTTCCAAGAAGACCCGACCCCAAAGGCCTTTCGACTACACTGACGAGACTATCGGCCCCACAGATTATAACGATCCGGGACACGTATATCACCTTGATACCAACCTGAACGATATGGAGGGCATCTTGACAAAGCCGCCGCCCTTGACGCCCATGGATTCCTCTTTCATCAACAGCATCGAAAGTGATCGAAGAGAATCCACGCTTGAAGGTCCGAAGGGTCGGTGGGACGCCCCAGACAGCTGGGCTGTTCGCAGGAACACCGAGGACAACACCGAGGACGTACCCGAGGTGGATGAGATTGGCAGCCCACCACGGCCTGACGAGAAGTTAACTTCCTATTTCATCCGAATATTCCGGTCCGATGGCACCTTTTCAACGCATTCGATGGCCCTGGACTCGACAGTTACCGACGTCATATCGCAGGTTATTAAGAAGACCTATGTGGTTGACGGCCTGGAGAATTATCACATCATCATGAAGAAGCATGACCTCATTCGAGTGTTAGCACCGGCTGAACGACCATTGCTTATGCAAAAGCGACTACTGCAACAGGTTGGGTATGAGGAGAAGGATCGAATTGAGGATCTAGGTCGAGAGGACAACGGTTACCTCTGCCGTTTCATGTTCTTGTCCGCTCGGGAAAGTGATTTCCATGCCAAGACCATGGATTTGGGCATATCCCGTTCGCAGAAGCTTAATTATGTCGACCTTTCCGGACGTAACCTCGTCACCATTCCTATTTCTCTGTACAAAAAGGCGGCCGATATTATTTCACTAAACTTGTCTAGAAACCTGTCTCTTGATGTACCTCGAGACTTCATTCAATCCTGCAAACAACTTCGAGATATCAAGTATAACAATAATGAGTCGAGAAAACTACCGCTGAGCTTAGGCCGAGCTGGCAGGCTCACTTTCTTGGACGTATCCAACAATAGGCTGGAACAGTTGGAGCATGCAGAATTGAACTCGCTCACTGGGTTACTCAAGATGAACCTAGCGAACAATCGGCTGACCCATCTCCCACCATATTTTGGAGCTTACCAGGCTCTTCGCAGCTTGAATATCTCGTCCAACTTTCTCGACAAGTTTCCTCCATTCTTGTGCCAGTTACACAGCTTGGTTGATCTAGATCTGAGTTTCAATGCTATCGCAAGCCTTCCGGACGAACTTGGCAATTTGAAGAACCTGGAAAAGCTGCTGATTACCAACAACAGATTGGCTGATGAAGTTCCCGAAGGTTTTCGCCAGCTACTGAGTCTGCGAGAGTTGGACATCAAGTATAACTCGATTACGAGTATTGACATCATTTCAGAACTTCCTAAGCTGGAGATTCTGACTGCCGCTCACAACCATATATCCTCCTTTGTCGGAAAGTTTGAAACTATTCGACAACTCAAGCTTAATTCAAACCCCCTCAACAAGTTTGAGATTGTCGAGCCTGTTCCTACTTTGAAGACGCTCAACCTGTCACACGCTCAACTCGCCAGCATTGATTCTGCCTTCTCTAACATGATTAATCTCGAGACGCTAGTTTTGGACAAGAACTACTTCGTTTCCTTGCCCCAGCAGATTGGAACACTTAGCCGTTTAGAGCACTTCAGTATTGCCAACAATTCTGTGGGTGAACTGCCTCCCCAAATTGGTTGTCTCACTGAACTGCGGGTCCTGGATGTGCGAGGGAACAACATTTCAAAACTGCCCATGGAAATTTGGTGGGCCAACAAGCTCGAGACCTTCAATGCATCATCAAACGTGCTTGACGCATTCCCCAAACCCGCGTCGAGACCTCCGCGAGTTCCTGGAGAAGAACCGACAGGGCCGCCTACTGTACAAAATGGCAAACCTTTACCCCCAAATCCAATACCATCAACTCCCAGCTCCGAAGATCTCTCTGACGAACGACGCCCAAGCCAAGCCTCCAGTACTCTTCTCAGTGTTGGGCCATCACCAGTCTTGGCTACGGCAGACAGGAAGAGCTCTGTGGTGTCTGTCTACGGAAAGGGTGGGCGTAAGACGTCTGTTGTTTCTCGAGCAGCCTCTCAGGCCACCAACTCTACTACCCCTCCGCCAACCACCGCTAGGAAGGATTCTGGACTTTCTTCGAGGCTCACCAACACTTTTGCAGGATCACTTCGAAACTTGTATATTGCCGACAACCGGCTGGATGACGATGTTTTTGACCAGATCATTCTGCTTTCCGAATTGCGTGTCCTCAACCTCTCGTATAATGATGAAATTAGTGATATGCCTCAAAGATCAATCAAGAACTGGCCCCAGCTTGTGGAGTTGTACCTGTCTGGCAACGGCCTGACCTCGCTGCCTGCCGATGATTTGGAGGAGTCGAGTCTTTTACAGACCTTGTACATCAACGGAAACAAATTCACCAATTTGCCGGCAGACATTTCGAGGGCCAAGAAACTAGCCGTCTTGGACTGTGGCAATAACTATCTCAAGTACAACATTTCAAATGTCCCCTACGATTGGAATTGGAACCTGAATCCTAATCTGCGGTACCTCAACCTTTCCGGCAACAAGCGACTAGAAATCAAGCAAACGGCATGGGGAGGCCCAGATGGACCTGGTGCAGTGAACCGAGAGCAGTACACCGACTTCAGCAGGCTGCTGAACCTTAGAATTCTGGGCCTCATGGATGTCACCTTGACGCAGCCCAGCATCCCCGACCAAAGCGAGGACAGACGAGTTCGAACGTCTGGCTCATTGGCAGGCCATCTCCCCTACGGTATGGCGGACACACTGGGCAAGAACGAGCACTTGTCCACGGTAGATCTTGTGGTACCCCGATTCAATTCATCCGAAACAGAGATGCTCCTGGGTCTATTCGATGGCCAAGCCCTGTCAAGTGGTGGTTCCAAGATTGCCAAGTATCTGCATGAGAATTTTGGTCACATATTTGCCATGGAACTGAAAGCTATAAAGAATAGACCGGATGATACTCCAACCGACGCACTGCGAAGAGCGTTTTTGTGCCTGAACAAAGACCTGGTCACAGTAGCCGTCCAACATACCGAGGAAAGACCCAAGGCGGCTCATAGGGGATCAGCGCAACCGGTCGTACTCAGCAAAGAGGATCTGAACTCTGGCGGCGTAGCTACAGTTCTCTACCTGCGTGGCACTGAGCTTTATGTTGCCAACGTCGGCGATGTCCAAGCTATGGTTATCAAAACAGATGGCAAACACGAGATCCTCACACGAAAACATGATCCGGCTGAGCCATCAGAACGCTCGAGAATCAGAGAAGCCGGGGGTTGGGTATCCCGCAACGGCAGACTGAATGATTTGCTTCAAGTCTCCAGAGCATTTGGCTACGTCGATTTGATGCCGGCAGTACAGGCGGCTCCCCACGTCAACAAGATGACAATCAAGGAACATGATGAAATCATCTTACTGGCCACCAGTGAGCTCTGGGAGCATCTTGCTCCAGGCCTCATTACAGATATCGCCCGGTCTGAGCGGCAGGACCTCATGAGAGCAGCTCAGAAATTGCGTGATTTGGCCATGGCATACGGCGCGTCTGGTAAAATTATGGTCATGATGATCAGCGTTGCTGACCTCAAGAGGAGAGTTGAACGATCCCGCTTACATCGCGGCACTAGCATGTCTCTGTATCCTTCAGGTATCCCCGACGATACTCAAGTCTTGTCTACCAGACGACGAGGAAAAGCCAAGGGAGACGTGCTGGACTCGTCACTCAACAGACTCGAAGCTGAGATTCCTGCGCCAACTGGTAATGTCTCCATTGTGTTCACCGATATCAAGAACTCGACAACACTTTGGGAGATGTATTCAAGCGCAATGAGATCCGCCATCAAGCTACACAATGAGGTTATGCGGCGTCAATTACGCAGAATAGGAGGATACGAAGTCAAGACTGAAGGCGATGCCTTTATGGTCTCGTTTCCCACGGCAACCTCTGCACTTCTCTGGTGCTTTGCAGTCCAAATGGAACTGCTGGATGTCAGCTGGCCGTCAGAAGTTTTGAATTCCATGTCGTGCCAGCCCATCTTTGATAAGGACGGTGCCTTGATTTTTAAGGGGTTGTCTGTGAGAATGGGTATTCATTTCGGAGATTGCGTAAGTGAGACAGATCCTGTGACACGCCGCATGGATTACTTCGGCCCCATGGTCAACAAAGCATCCAGAATCTCGGCGGTGGCAGACGGGGGTCAAATAACCGTCTCCTCTGATTTCATTTCGGAGATTCAGCGGTGTCTGGAAAATTACCAAGACACCGAGCGTAATGCCTCCGGTGGATCTGACGAGGCATTCGAAGATGAGTCGTTTGCAGCCACTATCCGAAAGGACCTAAGATCTCTTACCTCCCAGGGTTTTGAAGTTAAGGAGATGGGAGAGAAGAAGCTCAAGGGACTGGAAAATCCTGAAGTTGTTTACTCTTTGTATCCCCACGCTTTGGCTGGGCGAATAGATCAGCACCAGCAGCATGAGCGACGGGACGAAGGACTTGACAGACCTGCCATTCTTGCCCCTGGCAGTGAGTTATCTTTCGACCCAGAAAGTATTTGGGCACTATGGAGAGTTAGCCTTCGTCTGGAGATGCTGTGCAGCACTCTTGAAGAGGTTAGGGGGTCCGGCCTACAACCACCCGAGACCGAACTCTTGGAACGGATAAAATCCAGAGGTGGAGAGGTCACCGAAAAGTTCTTACTCAACTTTATGGAACACCAAGTGACCAGAATAGAGGTAAGTCAATACCGCCTGCCAGCTTACTCTTCTTTGATACCATGCTGACGGATTTGGTAGACATGTGTCTCGACTCTTGTAATGCGACACCTGGCTCTTGGGCAACCGATTATCAAAGAACTCAATGACCTACGTGGACCTATGTCTCTGGTACTTGATTACTTCGTGAAGCAACAACAGGAGCTGGCGCGATACAAACAGTTCTACGGAGACATGCCACCTGAAGGTGATGCCTCGGGTGGCAAGACGCAAAGGGCTATAGCCAGTGCTCACGAAATCGATTACTAGACAACAGCGCTGATATCAGCCCCCCCTTTTTTTATTTCAGTATATATCCTGGGAAGGGGCTACTTTGAGCTGTTTGATTTGCCTATGTTCTTTATCTCTCTCTCTTCCCCCCTTACGTCAGCGACTGCTCATACTGAAACAACTTGGCTTTGGTTGCGGGTGGCTAATTTCTGAGTACGCGCTTATTTTCTCTACGGGGTTCCAACAGGATTTACATCAATATACGGGGGAAGGACCTGGATCTTGGAAACTAGGCATGCAATTTTGAATATTTATATGTTTGGGAGCGCCATGGAGCACATTTGTTTTCTTTGGGAGGGGGTTTTGGGGATGGTGCCATGGTGGGTGACCATGAGTGGGCGTTTTGGTGTTTATGGCTAGATGAATAGCTGAGCAGCTGTGTGATGAAGAAAACATGATGCTATTGAGTAGAGTTGCTCAAGATGTATTTGTGAGGAGTAGTTTATTCAGCGAGGAACAAAAAGTATTTGGCCAAATACGGCATTGGTCTACCGCACAGAATATTATTGAGACATGGATATGTGCTGGTGACAGGTCTCCGTGGCATGTGAATACATCGCCGCAGAATATCAATTACGTCTGGTTTGTTGAACGAATGAAAGCATGGCCGGGTGTAGCTGCGACGAACACTGCGCTGGAAGTTGCAGCTAATACAACTGGCACGTTTTGGCGCCGTGTCGACTTGGACTTGGAACTATCGTGAACGCACAAGGCGACGTGAGACTGTTTTTACACCTGGTGTTTTGCTTTGCTCCTGAGGCTTGGCTGATGCAGGGACTACTACCTCAGGTAGGTAGAGAAGAGCACCTGGGCGTTGCACTTAGTCCACGACGTACAGTCTGGTAGGGTACATTCACCCCATTACGCATACACTCATATGTTATGGTATATTATGATATAGAGGGCGATACGCCAGGGATCTGATCTTGTTGAGTCCCTTTTTCTCCCCACTGTACGGTCGGTCGCATACTGGTGTTTACTTGGCAATGAATAAATGAACCTGGCTAGAGACTGTAGTTACAAGGACGTTTTTAGTCTGGTTACGTTGCTGCTTGATACTTGACGTAGCCAGCTTGGCTTCATGCAAGCCGCTTACTGGTGACTTGGGGGCCTTGACAGGAAGATATCAGTCCAGTTCTCTGCGGAAAATGTCTTGTTTCAAAGACAATGGTTTGTGGACGTTGCGGCTCAATTTATATTCAGCTTGGGGTATGTACATGCGACGTAGCGCACGTGTGGTCCCGGTCTTGTTGGGGTGTATACATGTTTCGGTGGACGCAAGAGAACATTTCCTCACATCGGGTATATCTCGCTCCTTATGGACGTCCCCCTATTTTTGACAGACAAATGTTACTTTTTCCAATCCCATATACTCCCCTTTGGCAATTTTGCCCCCCCTTCTCACGCCGGCCTTCTTTTGACAAACTCCTCCAAGTCCTGTGCGGTGGCAACGCCAAGGACAAATCTTCTATTCTCGTCGGTGATGACGGCAAACTCCTCCTTCCAGGGGCCGTCGGTCTGGCCGCCACGGAAGAACTCCTCCAGCTGCTCGAGGGGTGTCTCCATGGTGATGACCTTGTACCGTCTGTTTCGGCGCTGGAAGTGCGCCATGGCGGACGAGAGGGGATCTTCAGGCTTGACCTTGCCGCTGTCTAGCTGTGCCTGGAGGTGGGGGATGGAGATGTATCCGAGGAGAGCGCGGGTTTCGGAGTCGACGATGGTGAGGTGGGTGTACTCGCGTTCGAAGGCCGATAGGAGGGCAAGTGAGATGGCATCGGAGGGGTTTAGGGACAGGGCGGCGGGGGGCTCGAGGTCCTGGACGGTGGCCTGGTGATGTGTTAGATATTTTTTTCGCGGTTTAGCGATTGATTTTTGTTCGGGAGAAACAGCCGGGGGGCGGCGGTTTCTTGGTCAAGAAAAAAAAAAGAGGCCATTCGGACATACCCCGCGATACCGAGAGGACCATCTAGACTGGAAGGATTTGGGTGTGCCATCCACGACAACGGGGATGGTTGCGGTCTGCGCAGCCATGCTTCAGGAATAGATGTTGGGATAGAGGATTCGGCTACTCTGAAAAATAGTTTTTTTCCTCGCGACGAAAGTATGGTTCGTTGAGCTGGGAAGACGTCGGCGTGCAGTGGCATGTGAGGTTTGCCAGGTGTCTGGTATCATATGAACGGAAAAAGACAAGGTCCAACGGTCCGCCGCAGAATGGCGTGAGTTCATGTGGGGTGCGGCTTCCCAATGACAGCAGCTTCAGTTGCAGCTCCACATCGGCACGCTCCATGTCTCCTTGCCTAGTAGGCATCTTCTTAAGTAGGTAATTGCCACGGCGAAGGTCCCAATAGCCTCGGTGCTGGCCGTTATTCAATGCTATTCTAGATTACTTTGTGTTTCTGTACAGGGAAATGGTTAGCCATTGGGAGCCTCGCTTCCACTACATCTACATGAAATCACGGACCAGGTCGGAATTGTGGCCCTGCCGCCCTGCATATCACATCCCCGCAAGCTCAGGCGGGGCGGGGCCGCCAAGTTCGGAGTAGTGTCACTCCACAATCAACTGAACTTCGGCCCATGGCACCGCGAAGCATCGCAAAGAGAAGGCAAATTGTACAAAGGATGCTTGCATATCACAGAGAGTCCCCAAGCCAAAGAACACCCAAGGGAAAAAAAAAATTAGATTAAAACCATGACACCCGTACCCAGTACGCCTCCCAAGCCTCACAGCTAGAAGAGGGGCTACTGCCTTGAATCGGGTGGCAGAGTGATGTCACCATTGCAGCCCACGACCAGTCACATCTCGAAGCTCCAACGAAAGCTCCTGGCAACCCGTTAAATCCGTACGTCTCACTCACCTGTGGGTGGGTGCAACCCGGACATTCTTGCCATTCTTTGCTGCGTGAACAAACCTCTCTGTTTTCTGTGTTGATTTTTTTCTTCTTCAAACATCGTCGCGGCAATCATCCATCCTGCCCGTAGCTCGTCCTAAGCCACTCATATTCGGGGACTGTCGGGACCTGGATCCCGCTTGCACCTTTTTCGGTGAGTCACGCCAACACAATTCAAGCCTGAGAGATATTCGGACTCTACCAATTGCCTCACCTCTCAGGCAGAAAAAAGGAAATGTGATAGCATCATGGTTTGCCAAGTGCCATATCAGCCATGATACCCGGGTGCTGTTGCTGACCGAGACGAGGTCGCAATTGGAAGTAAATACGATTACTCTAACTTTTGTTACGCATTTTTAGATCAATCCATCGACTGACCACCGTCGAACCTGGGGAGACCACGAACCAACGGGGAGAATTGGTATCAAACATTTCACCAACCCTGAGTCATCATGCCACACCTCTTTCCGCGACCTGAAGCCCTCAAGGGAACCATGTACACTCCAATAGAGACCAGCATGTCCAAGCCGACGCCATACCAAGCTCGACCCGACCTCTTCGGCGTGTATTCCGTTGTCGAAGACGCAAAGGACAAGGCACACAAGCTTGGCGCTGAAGCTACAAAGGAATTTGAAAAGGCCAGCTCCGCTGCCCAGGCCAAGGCCGGTAAGATTGAGCTGTATTCCGGCAAGTATTACGCTGCTTGCACCTTTGGCGGTCTCATGGCCTGTGTGAGTCCTTCCCCTTGGTTGTTGCTTTTGAGCAGCATGTATATATATGTGTGTGTGCTTTTCGCTCATGGCAATGCTTGATTGAATAGGGTCTCACACACACGGCTGTAACGCCCCTTGATTTCGTAAAAACCCGTCGTCAAGTCGACTCGAAACTCTACACCAGCAACTTCCAGGCCTGGAGTAAGATTTACCGCGCCCAAGGGATTCGCGGCATCATGACCGGCTGGAGCCCTACATTTTTTGGGTACAGTGCACAGGGATCCTTCAAGTACGGCTGGTATGAATATTTCAAGAAGACGTACAGCGACATTGCTGGCCCAGAAGCTGCGTACAAGTACAAAACTGGGCTTTACCTGGCCGCTTCTGCGTCCGCCGAGTTCCTCGCCGACATTGCTCTTTGTCCTTTTGAAGCTGTCAAGGTGCGCATGCAGGGCACCATACCCAACCCTTATACTGGCACCCTGCACGGCATCAACACCATTGTAGCCAAAGAAGGCTGGGCCGGCCTTTACAAGGGACTGTATCCATTGTGGGGACGTCAGATTCCCTATACCATGATGAAGTTTGCTTCGTTTGAGACTATTGTTGAAAAGATTTATGACCGTCTCCCCGGACAAAAGAGCGACTATGGCAAGGCTGCGCAAACCGGTGTCTCCTTCACCGGTGGATATCTCGCTGGTATTCTCTGTGCCATTGTCTCCCACCCCGCCGATGTCATGGTCAGTAAATTGAATGCGTATAGAAAACCTGGCGAGGCATTTGGAACCGTCATGAGCCGGATCTACGGGGAAATTGGATTCGGAGGACTCTGGAACGGTCTCCCCGTCCGTATCGTCATGATTGGCACTCTGACTGGTCTCCAGTGGATGATTTATGTAAGCCTCCAGCCCATGCCACGAACCCCCCCTTCTCCATGTTGCCGTGTCGTCACTAATGGTATTCCTTTGTAGGATTACTTCAAGATTTTCATGGGCCTACCGACCACCGGTGGCCCTCCTCGACCTGAGGAGAAGAAATGAACAGAAATTCACTCACATGGTTTTCGGTAATGGGAGAAGGAAATCTACCCTCTGGAAACGGGGAATGGGCTGGAATTGCTGGGTCGCTGGAATTGTTACATTTCAAAGTTTGTGCTCTTAGTTTGTCTTTTGCTTCCCGTCAGTCAATACCGAGTATTTAAAATGGCATATAGTTGCGCTGATTCGGAATATGTTTGTATCTGCCGTGTGACTTGTGAGTGTTCAAATGGACGAGAAAGTCCATTGGAAGTAGACGTGATTGACGCATTATGGTGCCAAATCCAAGAAGCTAACAGAACCTGAAGAGTCAAGGCCCAAAATCAAGACATTCGATATCG